ACTAAAATTCATCGAATCGTTATTCATATAGAACTCTTCTCTGTATATAAAACTTATTCCCACAGAGTTTCCAATGGATGTCTCGTGTCCTTCAAGCGGTAGATTCCATTCACGCGGTTGGAATATATTGTTTGGCATTGGTCCCGCCAAATTATCTTCCGAAAACGCCGCTAGGTGGCATTCATCTGTCGGAAACGAACGACGTTTCTTAGAGGGTACTCTACATCCGGCTAATGTTCTTCTTTGTCCGCACACTTGCGTTACCAATCTACCGAAACCACGCGAAGTCCATTCAGGTAAGAAGATTGCACATTTACCTGTGAGTACTATTCCCGAACCAGGTGTCGATTAAAGTTACGGACTTTCGATGAATTTTACATGAATGTCAGCAAGTACAAAGACATATATACACTTTCTTTTCTTTTTTTTTTTTTTTTTTTGTTGTAATATTACTTCGTTTTTTTCTTTGCGTATTATAATTTAAGCGAAAACCCAAGAAATTGATACGAAAAGTGATTAATTAAATTTCAAAGAGTTAGATAATTTGACGATCGGTCAAAATTGGAAAATTTATCAATTTGTTGGATAAATTTCGCTTAAATATATATATATATATATATGAGAATGATTAATGGGAGAATGAATGAGCAGTTATTTATTATTAATTCGATTGCGCGATAAATTTCGCTCTATTCAAAAAAAAATCTTCTCATTAACGCGAAGGAACGTAACACGTATACGCTTTCTTATAAAGTTATCAGTAGGCTTCAGTAACTTAGCACAAATGTACAAAGTATATAACTGTCTCTTGCTACATATCATGTATTGTTAACCCACCCAACTAAAATATTTAATGCTTGGCATGTTGTTCTATTATTTTTTTTTTTTTTTGCCCTTCTTTCTTTTGGCTGAGTTCCGAACACCCTGTAGCAGTCCTATAGACAAATTATTTCTTAGCGATGTGAGATTCTTCCTTTCATCTTTTTTATATGTACAAAAAAATTGTATCTCAATTTTTGTGTGCACCTATGATCAAGCATATTTTTTATACGAATGCTTTTAATTAATTTCACATCGCTACGTTTTCATCGTACGTTTGAAGAAGCACTGAATTATTTTGTTTATTAAGTATGTACAGTCCTACATGGAATGCCCAAAGCACGTCTATTATAAAGAACGTGCGTTAATCACCTTTCGACAATAACGAACCAGTTCACGTACCTAGCTTTGATTTTCCGGCCTCAGTCAGGGGAGAGTGTGTGAGCCTACTCATTATTGGGTTGAGTGTTTGTGTTGGTTTACTAACGGAATGGTGCGGGGGCGTGTAGCGGGGGATTCTGTTGCAGACGTTGGTCCGGCCAGTGTCATGGTGGGCAACATTGTTCAGGGTAATAGACTGGCATCAGCTCAAGGACGAGATATGGGTGTCTTGGATGAGGACAGTGATAATGCTAAAAAGGTTGGTTGATATAATTGTTTAGAAAAAGTTTATGATCTTGAAATATATTATTAAGAGTCTGAACAATTTCTTCTTAATAATATTTATTATAATACCTATATCAGAATCTATGATATTTCAAGATCATCAAAATAGATGATTTCATAAATATGAAATCTCTTTTCTAAATAATTATTATGTTGTTTTTTTAATAGGAAAAAATTTTTCTCTTATCTCTTGTTTTGTATATCTATATATATAGTTATTATTTGATTTTCAGTATCAATTCATTTCGGAAATACTGCGATGGCGTGCTGTCAGTACTTCTGATCACGTGATCTTCACATCGTTAAATGCAAAAGGAGCTGTAGCAACTTCTTTATCGTGCTCGCAGTTGCACAAAAAAGCCGAACGAATCGGGAATCTGTTGTTGGATCGTGGAAGAATCAATACCGGAGACCACGTAGCATTAATATTTCCTCCTGGTACAGACTTGATATGCGCATTTTATGGTTGCCTTTATGTTGGCGCCGTGCCAGTTACAATTAGGCCACCTCATCCGCAAAACCTCCAAACTACTTTACCAACTGTTCGTATGATTGTGGACGTCAGTAAGTCTGTGCTCGTGCTCACCAATCAAAATATCCTGAAACTGTTGAAAACAAAGGTACATTGATATGTTGTATTTCTAAAATATATATTCTACGCGATGTAGTTAACGTTTTGTTTTTAACTCTTTAACTGCTAAATTTGAATAATTTGAATATTTTATTTATAACTTTAAACGAAACTAAAAATATATTAAGTTATTCTTGAAACTTACGAAAGCAGTTAAAGTGTTAAATTATGTTTTATAAATCATTAATAATTATTTTCTATAATACGATACAGGAAGCGAACAATGTTGTCGACATTAAGAGTTGGCCAACAATCCTCGATATGGACGACATGCCAAAGAAGAAGTTACCTGTTATGTATCGAGCGCCCACTGCAGAGATGCTTGCTTACTTAGATTTCAGCGTCTCAACAACAGGAATGCTAGCAGGAATTAAAATGTCTCATGCAGCAGTGACGTCTCTTTGTCGTGCCATGAAACTTGCCTGTGAATTGTATCCATCCAGGCATATCGCTCTGTGTTTAGACCCTTATTCTGGATTAGGGTTCGCCCTTTGGTGTTTGAGTAGTATATATAGCGGTCATCATTCCATACTTATACCACCATCGGAGGTTTGTTTCTATAAGCTGTTCGAGAAACGCGAGAATTAAAGAAATGTTTTTAATATTTTTCTTTGCAGGTTGAAGTTAATCCAGCCTTATGGTTATCAGCAGTTAGTCAATCCAGAGTAAGAGACACGTTTTGTTCTTACGGTGTAATGGAGTTGTGTACCAAGGGTCTAGGTTCTTCTGTTCATGCTCTAAAAGCACGAGGCGTTAGTTTAGCCTGCGTCAGAACGTGTGTTGTCGTAGCTGAAGAAAGACCGCGAATCGCACTTACTACGAGCTTCAGTAAACTCTTCTCTGCTTTGGGTCTAAGTCCACGTGCTGTCTCGACCTCTTTCGGGTGTAGAGTAAACACAGCTATTTGCTTACAGGTTTGATTATTTATATAAATTAACGCGTCATATAACATAGTATTAATGTTTTTAATATTTTAAATTGATTAATAATATCGTTGGAACAGGGTGCATCGAGTCCAGAACCTTCTACAGTATACGTTGATCTCCGCGCATTGCGCAATGACCGAGTATCTCTAGTTGAAAGAGGTAGTCCACACTCTTTATGTCTGATGGAATCGGGTAAATTATTACCTGGAGTGAAGGTAATTATTGCCAATCCAGAAACGAAAGGACAATGCGGAGATTCTCATTTAGGAGAAATTTGGGTGCAATCTGCACATAACGCCAGTGGCTATTTCACGATATATGGTGACGAGAGCGATTATGCTGACCACTTCAATGCCCGTCTCGTAACTGGGAATACAAATGAAGTTTACGCCAGAACTGGTTATCTTGGTTTCTTAAGACGTACCGAAAGCGTTCAGCAATCGGTTATCAGTGATATTCCCGGTGATACTTCTGCCGAAGCGGATCTTGTTCCTGGAGACTCTGAATTACACGATGCTGTGTTCGTAGTTGGTGCCCTCGATGAGGCCATTCTACTCAGAGGAATGAGATATCACCCGATCGATATCGAGAATAGCGTGATGAGATGTCATAAGAAAATAGCAGAATGGTAAGTGTATGCAAATGCAAGTGTGTTGAAAATTGTAAGTTAATTAATAATAATAATAATAAGAAAAAAAGCAATATTAAATATAATCCTAAGTATATATATATATATATATATATATATATATATATATATATATATATATAT